CACCCCTCCCCAGCGGCAGCGCAACAACCATGCCTCCGCCCCCTTCACCACCCCCTGACCCCAAACAGACAGCATCAGCATCAGCTAGCACCGACACCAGCAGCGCTGGCGATGGGGATTATAGCAGCAATGCCACCACTGCGATAATAACATCAGCAGCAAGGTGGTGGACGACGGCGACACGGCGGAGGCTTTGGCGCTTGCTCATCCTGCCGCTTGGTGTCGTGGTGTTGGTGGTGCTAACGATTGTGCTGGCCGTGCTTGGGGCGAAGGGGGTTTTGGGTGGCAAGGGGACGACGGATGGTGAGGGAGATGATGGGCGGATGAGGGTGGAGACGAGGGATGGGGTGAGTTTATTGTTGTTGTTTATATGTGTTTATTTGTTTTGTTTTATTTATTTATTGTGCCTTTTATTGCTTATCATTTCTGGAAATCTCATTTTATTTTATTTTGAGGGGGGTGTTCGTCAACTCCGCTGCATTTTACTGCTATGTCTTTGATTTCTTCACTTTAAGCTGCCATTTATTTCAAACCCACCCCCCTTGAATCGATATATCGACATAAATACAGTCGGTTTCCTTAAAAAAGCTGCTGCTAACGTAAGTTTTATATCTAGTTATCAAGACCGTGGTATCCATCTCCACGAGGTGGAACTGTTCAAAGTTGGACTGAAAGCTATGAAAAAGCCCAGGAGTTAGTGAGCAGAATGAGTATGGTTGAAAAAGTGAATGTCACTACTGGTGTTGGTTGGCAGATGGGGCTCTGCGTTGGAAACACTGGTAGGTCAAATATTTTATTTTATTTTGCACTCGATTCAAGGCTCTCTCGACCATGGAATAGGAGGCCGCGATTTAATTTTTGTCGTTTTGTTTCCTCAAATTCGGAGCCATCATACACCTCTCTGAAGGTAACATAAATGGTCACATGCTGAGTCGCTCAGGTCCGGCTAGTTCGGTGGGCTTCCCATCGCTTTGTCTGCAAGATGGGCCTCTAGGCATTCGCTTCGCAGATAACATCTCTGCGTTTCCTGCCGGTGTTACCATCGGTGCGACATGGAGTCGCGACTTAATGTATAGGAGGGGTTTTGCGCTGGGGAAAGAAGCGCGACTCAAAGGAGTCAATATCCTTCTTGGTCCGGCTATGGGTCCTGTTGGTGTCTTGCCTGCGGGGGGCAGGAATTGGGAAGGCTTTGGCTCGGACCCTGTTCTCCAGGGGGTTGCGGCCGCAGAGACCATTCGCGGAATCCAGGATAATGGAGTAATGGCGACCGCTAAACACTACGTGCTCAATGAGCAGGAGCATTTCCGCCAGGAAGGTGAATGGGGAATACCGATTGCGATGTCTTCCAACATTGATGATCGTTCACTCCGCGAGGTGTATGTGTGGCCGTTCGCGGAAAGTGTACGGGCGGGCGTCGCGAGCGTGATGTGTGCGTATCAGATGGTGAATAATTCCTACGCCTGCCAAAATAGTTTAATTTTAAACGGCATCCTCAAGGATGAGCTTGGGTTTCAAGGCTTCGTCCAATCGGACTGGTTGGCGCAACGGAGCGGAGTTGCCAGTGCACTTGCTGGTTTGGATGTCTCAATGCCCGGCGATGGCCTGGGGTGGGGGGACGGAATTTCCCTGTGGGGCCGCCACTTGACGCGGGCTGTCTTGAATACATCTGTACCAATGGATCGATTAAATGATATGGCGACGAGGGTAGTGGCCTCTTGGTACCAGTTGAAACAAGATTCCTGGCCGAAACCGCCTCCAGACGGGGACGGAGGACCGAATTTCTCGTCCTGGACGCATGACAGAATCGGTCGATTGCACCAAGGCAGCCCCGATGACGATGCCGAAGGTGTCGTTAACCAATATATCAATGCGCAAGGCGAGGGGGATGATGCCCATGGCCCCCTTGCGCGTGAGATTGCAGCCGAAGGGACAATTCTGCTCAAGAATGAAAACGGATTCCTCCCACTTTCCAGGGACGGCCCAAGACTATCAGATGAAAAGTATCGTATCGGTATTTATGGAGAGGACGCCGGAGCCGGCAAGGGACCAAATGCTTGCCAGGACAGAGCTTGTAATCAGGGCACGCTGGCGTCCGGTTGGGGTAGCGGAGCTGTCGATTTCCCCTACCTAATAACACCGTGGAAAGCTCTAAGCAGGGCTTTCAATAACCAATCCACAACGGTATCCGGGTATCTGACAAACAACCGGACTCCACCAGAGGATATGCGTGATAAGGACTTGTGTCTTGTTTTCGCGAATGCCAACTCTGGCGAAGGGTTTGCACGTTGGGAAGACATCCATGGTGACAGGAATGACCTCTTTCTCCAAAAAGGTACAGACGACCTTGTTTCTCAAGTAGCAACAGAATGTGGTGCTGGGAATGGCAGCACAGTTGTGGTGATCCATTCGGTTGGGCCTGTGATCGTTGAGTCCTGGATCGACCTCCCAGGAGTTAAAGCAGTCCTTCTAGCGAACTTACCTGGAGAAGAGAGCGGAAACGCGCTCGCTGATGTTTTGTTCGGCGACGTGGACGCCAGTGGCAGACTGCCATATACCATGGGCAAAAACCTTACCGATTATGGCCCTGAAGCTGGAATCCTTTATAAATCCGATGATGTGATTCCACAAAAGGATTTTTCCCACGGCCTATACATCGACTACCGCTTCTTCGACGCCCATAACCTAACGCCGCGATATGAGTTCGGTTACGGCCTCTCATATACAACCTTCAACCTATCCAACCTGATCCTCACGCCGTTGAAAGCCAAAACTGCACTCCCGTCTCCCAGACCGAAAGAAATATCTCCGCCATCGTACAACACAACTATCCCCAACATTGGATCCGCCTTATTCCCAGAAGAATTCAGGATTCTAACCAAATACATCTACCCGTATTTATTGTCTGTAGACGACATCAAACGAGAGCCACCATACGAATACCCGAAGGGATACGACGAAGCCCAACCCCCCTCACCAGCTGGAGGAGGTGAAGGCGGCAACCCATCACTCTTCGAGCCGTTCGTGACGGTCAATGTCACTGTCAGCAATACGGGGACTCGTGCCGGGAAGGAAGTTGTCCAGGTGTATGTGTCGTTCCCTGAGAACGTCCTCGACGAACCTATACTCGACAATAATAGCAGCAGTAGCAGTAATAACAGCAGCAGCAGTAACAGCCCAGACAATAGCACCACGACCAACCCGACCAACAACAGCACCAGAACCGTCGATTTCCCCCGGCGCGTTCTCCGCAATTTCCACAAGGTAGAGGTGCAGCCCGGGCAAGCCGTCACTGTGAGCTTGCCGCTGACACGCAAGGACCTGAGTTACTGGAGTGCTGTGAATCAGAACTGGGTGATGCCTGTTGACGGCACGTTTCGAGTGTGGGTGGGGAGGAGTTCGAGGGACTTACCGCTCATGGCGGAATATTGACGATGGGGAAAGAAAGGACGGTAATGAAAAATGCATGAATGAATGAATGAATGAATTGATGACTTAATGATTGAATATGTATGCTGTAAGATGGGTTAATGCTGTCTTGTCTGTCTCTCTGTCTCTCTGTCAGTATGATTTATCTGTATTTTATTTGGTGTTTGTTTCGGTTATGTCTGCGGCGTTTGTACCCGAATATGAGATGGAACTCGACTGATTGCCTGCCAGATAGACCCATATTGAATGTGATAATGAAATGAATAATAATGAATGTTAATTAACCCTATGAATGGATGAGTAAATTTATAACAGGGTGATGAGGGCAAGCAGGTTGTTGGTGTAAGTAAGCATGATGGGGAGGGAGAGTAAATAAATGTGGAAGGAAAGAGAAGTTAGCACATCAGTAGCATCTTCCTTCTCCTCTCATTCATCATTCACATCACCCACCAACAAGAAATGAAGGGGAAAAAAACAATAAATATTCAAATCACTTGTGTGTGTGTGTGTGTGTGTCCAGAAAAAGAGAACGAAAAAGAAAAAAAAGTAGAAAAAAAAGAGAGACCAATGTGGTTATTTTCATCTAGACCAAGTGGGATTCGAACCCACGACCCCCGCATCACTGAGGAATAATTCATATGAGTTCAGGCCACACCAAAACAAAGTTGCTCTGGGCGCTTCTGAGAGTCATATAAGAACGGAACGCTAACCACTGCGTCACTGGTCTAATGTTTAGCCCTACAGAGCGACCCGAATCACTTTATGCTCACGCCCGGTGGCGGTGGCGGTCGGTGGCAAAAAAATGGTGGGAAAGTATAAACAGGGCTTGTTCTCGAATATCCATGGATATTTATTATTGATTGGTTGCATGTGGGGTGGATTATGCTTCTGTGGGCAACTTGGGAAATTATCCAGTATAAAAAAATAAAAAAAATAAAAAAAAAAGTATTCTTTTCCATTCAAACGCTGATTGATGATCATGAAGAGCAAATGATGAAACCCCGATGAAATCCACCATTAATACCCCGCAGCCGGAATAGTCGAGTACAGCGCAGCTTGAGCCTTGGAGACTCTCTCGCCTGGGAGAAGGTAGCAGAGCTCCTACCTAGTTCACGTACGCTCTTGCAGGGTATCGCACAAAGCAGGAAGGAAGACTCATGAGGCATATACGTCCTTAACCACCCATGGGACACAGTTGCGCCTTGCAGCTGCATATTCCACCAAGGGGTACCTGAGCTACATTGAGGAAGAATTTCCAATATCCCCCCTTTTCTTATTTCCACTTTTAGTCCATTTTTTGTGTATTCTCTTCATCTCATTGCAAGGGTGTATAAATACGTGTATGCTCACTTTTCCGTTACAACGAAACCATTAGTTTCAAGTGACACCTCGTTTCCGAAATACTTCATGCTTTCCGCTGGTCGTCTAGTTGGTTTATGGCACTGGACTGTAATATCTTTCTGCTATCCAGGTGTCGTCGGTTCGACTCCGACCCAGCGGAGAATACCCTTTCTTTCTTTTTTTTGTATATACAAATCCCCCCCTTCTCTGCTCTGCTCTGCCCCGCTTCGCTCGTCTGTGGGAGATTTGAGATTGATGAGAGTGCCAGCCGCAGTACGGAGTACTAAATTTAGAGCTTGAGCCTGAGCGGTCTTGGCGTCGTAGCTTCATTCGAATGCCGACTGGAGTGGGCATGTACATTATGTACAGGTCAGTTCAAATACATTATTTGGGCATATGTTGTTGGCTGTACAGAGTACAGGGGAAAGACACGCCTGTTGCCGCAAGTTCGACCACAATATACTCCGTACTATAGAGAGTATTTGAAGCAGCTGCAAAAAGTGTGTACACTGAAAAGCCCAACATGAGTCGCACTATTTCGAGCTCTTATTTATTTTGCAGACCGGCACGTTTTTATCAAGTTGCTAATCAGCTCCAAGTCATTTTAACTAATAATAGTACATTATTCAATTGGTAGTTATGGAGGAAGAAATCCTCACTGTTCGCTGTCGTTGACTCGTAGGTGAGCAATGTATGTATTACCTAAGCTCCGCCAAGACAAATTACATAACCAGGGGCCGGGTAATATCGGAGCAAAGTGCGGGACCCTCCGGTTTCGCATGAGCCGCGGTGTTTTCTCGCTGCAAGCACAACGTTCATGATGCGGGGCAAAGCCACAACGAGCTTCAAACAACAGCCAAGTAAGCAATGGAAATAATTACTTTGGAAGTATAGAGCAGAATCGCTGACAAGTTTACCAGGTTTGGGAGAAGAAAAATGCCGCAGCTGCAGAAAGTAACTCGCCCCGAAACATGGGGTTTTGATGCCTTGTCCAACCCTCTGCGTGGCTACGAGCGGAGGAACACAAGATACGGCATGGATATATGGGAAATATATTAAATCTACATACATACATCCATACATGCAAGCATCGAGCATGCCAAGGTGGTCAGTCAAGTCGGCCGAGAAAGGCTAGCGAACTACCGGCCTCCAGCGGGCGATCTCATGCCATCATCACAAGCTCCAACCGGTCCCAGAGCTCTCTAACTTTTTCGCCCTGTGAGAAACTTCCGCTCATCCATTTTGCTCCATTTTTCTGCCAGCCCGCAGCTAATAATTAATAATGAATAATAAGACAGACAACCACAGCTGCTGTCTTTTTCTCTCTCACTCTCTCGACCGAATAGGGATTGTTTTCCCCCCCGTTTGGTCAGGTTGTGTAGATTTTGATTAATTAATGCGTATCTGCGGGTAAAACAAACTGTGGTCTGGCCCGCTTTCCAGCCTTTGTTTGCTCTGCTTTTAGGGGATTTTTCGCCTCCGTGCGGCGGGCCTGTCCAGCGAATTTCTGCGGATTGCATGTGCCGCGGCAAAAGGAAAGCTCTGACGTTATCCCGAAGTGACATTGCTTGCTCTGGTTTTCGCCGTGAAGAGAAAAGGGTTCGGGGTTACTAACTGATAAATACCAGATGCTCGGCCCAGGTCGGGCGATGCTCCCTAACTTACCCCATTTTTTCCAACAAAACCCATAGCAGCAAGTCAGCAGTCTTATATATAATAAACCTAGAGGACCTGATAGCTATAAATTTATTATCGTACTGTCTGCTTTTGCTAAATACCATCTTTGTCGGAAAGGAAGAGGTTAAAACACACGAGAACGCATAACTCTCCTCTCCTGTCGGCTAAACAAACATACATACATACATACCTACATACATACACATATAAAATATAAATCAATTCACAATGGCAACTGTCGACACCCTCCTCAAGGACGTGGCCATCCTCGGCCCTCTGAACGACCAGACTCGCAAGATCCTCACCAAGGAAGCCACCGCGTTCCTCGCCCTGCTGCACCGCACTTTCAATCCCACCAGAAAAGCCCTCCTCCAGCGACGCATCGACCGTCAAGCAGAGATTGACCGAGGCACCCTCCTAGATTTCCTCCCAGAGACCAAGCACATCCGTGAAAATGATGCCTGGAAGGGAGCCCCGCCTGCCCCAGGCCTTGTTGACCGCCGTGTGGAAATCACTGGCCCAACTGACCGGAAAATGGTCGTGAATGCGTTGAACGCTGATGTGTATACTTATATGGCTGATTTTGAGGGTGAGTTGTCTCGTTCTTATTTTTATTTATGTTCTTATTTTTTGCATATGCTTTTACTTTTGTGGACGTGAATTTTGCTGTTTTGGCCCCGGGCTTGGAGGAAGGGCAGAAGGGAGATGCAGTTTTGATATTGGCTGGAAAAGGAAGACTGGGAATCCAGCTAACGTAAGTTTCAAATTCGCAGACTCAACCGCTCCCACCTGGGAGAACATGGTCAATGGCCAGCTTAACCTGTACGATGCCATCCGCAGACAGGTTGATTTCAAGCAAGGCGGAAAGGAATACAAGCTGCGCACCGACAGGAAACTCCCAACCCTCATTGCCCGCGCCAGAGGCTGGCATCTTGAGGAGAAGCATATGACTGTCGACGGTGCTCCCATGTCCGCCAGTCTTTTCGATTTCGGTCTCTATTTCTTCCACAATGCGAAAGAGCTGGTTAGCCGGGGTGCTGGCCCTTACTTCTATCTCCCCAAGATGGAATCTCACCTTGAAGCCCGTCTGTGGAATGACGCCTTCAATCTGGCGCAGGATTACGTTGGCTTGCCTCGCGGGACCATCCGGGCCACTGTTTTGATTGAGACTATCTCTGCTGCTTTTGAGATGGATGAGGTGAGTTGATGCTTGCTACATTTTTCCCAATCGGGTAATACAACGTCCTGTGCAAGAGAGATTTTTTTTTTCTAACGGGGAACCTTAAAACTGAACAGATCATTTACGAGCTCAGAGAACACAGCTCTGGCTTGAACTGCGGCAGATGGGACTACATCTTCTCCTTCATCAAGAAATTCAGACAGAACCCCAATTTCGTCCTCCCAGATCGCTCAGATGTCACCATGACTGTTCCTTTCATGGATGCCTACGTCAAACTCCTCATCAAGACCTGCCACCGACGAGGTGTTCACGCCATGGTAAGCAATATCTGGAAAAAAAAAACACCCCTCTTCACCCCCTCCTCTCTCTCTCTCTCTCTCTCTCTCCTCCAGTCTATTTATAGAAATACCCGCTAACTAACTACCAAAAAAAAAATATAGGGTGGAATGGCCGCTCAAATCCCCATCAAAGACAACCCAAAGGCCAACGACGCCGCCATGGCCAGCGTGCGTGCCGACA